CTTTGGGAACAACCTTTATAGAGTTCCAAAATCACAGAAGGACTATTCCTACCATGACACTAGAGATTTGGCAAACATTTTCTTTCTCTCTTTTTCAATTTAGTCATTTTATTAGGCAACCTTTTGCTTGAGAGGCTATTGAATTTAGGATCATATCTATCCACCCTTGTGTTTGTGTGAGTGTGAGATGCTTCTAGTGAGGTTTGGTTATTGGGTCTGAACTGAATGAATGTGACATTGGTTTAGGATTTCTGGACAGAAATATTCCACTCACACACTTGGTGTTTTATGCTCTTCTTCTGTTTTTCAGTAAGCTGACTTACTCAAGCTCTGTCTCTTTGCCTAACTGCTGTCTTATTTGGGTAGATTGGTGGTATGAGGCTGAAAATAAAAACACCGTATGAAGCATGATATTAGTAGCTCTGGTTTCTACTTATAAGTTTGAAACTTGCCAGAACTATGACCTTGGCGCAGTTACTTGTTGTTTCTGCTGATCAGTTTCCTCATGAAGACAACATCCATATCTTTCTTGGTCAATGTTTATCATCTGTCTTGCCATTCCAGACTGAGTACAGGAATCTTTATTCACTTGTTGGCATATCCCCAGACCATAGCAAATAGCACAGCATTAAAAAAAATTCTTTAGTAGGTGAAAACCTACCTAATTTAGTGGTGTTACCATTTATGTAGCATGTTAATAATGTGCAAATCATAATTAGTAAAACACCAGTCTCCATTTATAATCATATGGTTTTTAAGTTCCATTATTTTTGAGACAGAGTCTCACACTGAATCCTAGCTGGTTTTGAATTCCCTAAATAGTCCAGACTGCTCTTGGTTTAATGCCAATCATCTTTTTTCTCTGGGAGTTATAGTGTGGGTTAACGCATATGGTTACCAAGTTTCACAATCCATATCACCTATGTTCTTCTTTTTTCATATAATTATATTCCTTCAGATGTGGTCATGACAGTACCCTCCTTGAACACCTTGTGCAGGTTAATCTTCATCATCAACTTGACTGCATTTAGAAGGAAACATACTTTGGGCATGTATATGATGGTGTTTCTAGAAAGGTTGATCTGAACAGGGAAGACTGACTGACCCTGACTGTGGGGGTGGCATCATGTTTTTACTGTTTGGAGTCCTAAACTATAAAAAAGAAGGTGAACTGAATTTCAGCATTCTACTCTCTCCTGTGTAGTTTGATGTTTTACTCTTTTGGCTTTTTGAAGGGCCCACCACCCAGCTCCCAAATAAATCACACATGAAGGTTTATTCTTAGCCCGACCTTAGCTTGGATTATTTCTTGCCAGTATTTCTTAACTTTAAATAATCCAGACGACCTTTTGCCTTTGGGATTTTTTTCTTTTCTTCTGTATATCTTATTTTCACTCTTACTCCGTGGCTGGCTGGCTGAGTGGCTGGCCCCCGATGTCCTCCTCTTCTTGTTCTCTTTTTCTTGGCCATACAGCTCTTTATTAGAATCATGAGGTGTTTTAGATAGGCAAAGAATTACACCTTTACAGAGTTTAACAAATGCACCATAAAAAGTCACACACCCAAACTGGGCGGTGGTGGCGCACGCCTTTAATCCCAGCACTCGGGAGGCAGAGACAGGCGGATCTCTGTGAGTTCGAGGCCAGCCTGGTCTACACGAACTAGTTCCAGGACAGGAACCAAAAGCTACGGAGAAATCCTGTCTCGAAAAATCAAAAAAAAAAGTCACACACCTTAAAATCATAGTCTACAACACTCCTGACTGCTGAACCATCTCATATTGCTGCCACCAAGTCTTCTCTGCCATGGTGGAAGGCAACCTTAAGATGTAAGCCAAAGTCTTTTTTTTCCCCTTAAGTCCCCTTTGTTACAAGCCTTTTCTCTCATATAATTTTCTTCTTTGCCTGTAGGACTGGAACATGGCATTGCATTTTAGGGAATGCAGGCAAGGTAGTTTGGATAACTGATGTGTCCCCACAGTCTTGAGCATTTGAACACTCTCTGGTTCACAACTGATGGATGTATAGGAAAATTTTGGAGTATAGCCTGGCTGAAGGAAGTATGTCACTGGAAGCAGAGTTTAAGAAAAAAAACTCACCTACTTCCTGTTTATACTCTGTTCTTTGCCTGTGACTGAAGATGTGAGCTTTCAGTTTGGTGCTCCTCTGCTATGCCTACAGCTTGTTGTGGGACTCTGATCTCTTGCCAGAATCTTATCCCCATGGAACCATAAGCCCAAATAAACTGTCTTCTTCTTAAATTGTCTTTGTTTTATAGTGTTTCATCACAGCAACAAAAAGTAACTATTACAGCAGGTAAGACCAGAAGGAGAGACTATATATTGAATTTGATATTGATTCCTTTGAAATAGAAATATTTTAATTCCTGGCACTGATATTAGTGGTGTATTAGGAGGAAGTTTATCTAATTGTGAAGAATCATGAAGAACATGAGTGGGATATATGAGGTCCAAGGGAACAAATATTTGATACAGAATCATTCTTAATACTCAATTCACGTTAACTAGTTCTATATAAACAAACAAATACTTTTTCTCATTTCTTGTTGATTTCATTGTGCTTCTGAGTGTTGAACCCAGAGCCACATCTCCAATTCTAGAATAAAAGCATTGACTTGATATTAAGGATCCTATCATGGTAAAGCAGTGATGTTCTGTGCAGTTTCTTTCCAACCACTCGGTGCACTCCTATTGGATCATGAGGAAATGAAAATTCCTGAGCATGCTGTGTAAATAAAATTCTTTATGTTCTGGCTCAGTGCTCTTCTCATTGGTGACAGTTTTATCTCCTTTAGCATTCCTGGACTGTAACTAACCTAATGTCCACCAGGTGTGTCATTTAGATTCATATCTTCCCCCTTTAAAGCCTGGCTTTTCCTTGTGCACTCCATAAACATTCACCATTTTTCCAGCATAAATTCAAGTATGAGGCTTTCTTTAATGCTGTCCCTCATTTTAGGGAAATAACATGCTTATGCTTCCTATTCTGTGCTGCACGGCCCTGGATACGGTCTAGTAGTAACACTTTTTGTATATGATAAAGCAGGTAATGGACTCTTAGATGGTAGTGATTAAGTGCATGGACTGTTCAAGGTCAAACACCTAGCTCAACATGTGTGATACTGGTGATTTCGGTAAGCTAGAGACTGAATCTGTGCCTCAGTTTCTTCAGCTTTAAAGTAGACACAATGATTGTACTTACAGTGAATTGAATTGAAATATGTGCAACATTTAGGATAGAGACAATACAAATCATTAGGTGTTTCCTACAATAAGAATATTAGCATCATATTATATTAAAATTGGAACAGCAGCTCATAATATTACATCTGGCATGTGGAATTATGAAAGGTGTTCAGTTATATGTTGAAAACAAGTTAATAATCAGGCTTTATTATTATGATACATCTCCATAAGTCTAGTCACTTTGATTCTGTCATTCCTTTCTAATGTTGTAAATGTTTCTTTCCTACTGGACTGTAATAATATCCATTTCTGCAAAGATGACATCCATTTTGGACACCTCAATACCCTGACTCCAACAATAATGCCCAGCACATAGATGCTAATGTGTATTTTGTAATCCATAAATGAATAGATTTTAAGAACTGCACTTAGTGACTGTTAAATATCATTTTAATCTTTCCCCCTGCTTCATTGAGACACTTTATAGCCAGACTAGCCTAAAAGTCGCTAAGCCCATGCTGGTCTTGTAATTAGGACCCACCTTCCTCAGTCTTCTAAGAGCTGGGGTTTCAGGCATACATCACCACATTGGGCTCTCATTTTCCGGCACTTTAAAATTCACTCCTATTTTCCGTATTATTTCAATGTGAGAAAATAAAATTTCAGCGAAATGTGGCTATAATTGTGGTTAAAAGTTATGTTAGAATTATTTATCTTAACAGAGGAATCCTCATGTTTCCTTAGTGTATAATCACAGACTTTAGTTCATATGCTAACTCACTGGTAGCGAAATCCCACAGTGTACTGAAATTTCCTGCTCACCATATGCCATTTTACATCCTCCACAAAATTCACAGGCAGAAGCTTTCCAAGAGCCGTCATTGATTAGCTTATTCATTTAATAAGACTCTTATCTGACGACAGGAAATATAAAGAATGACTAATTTATTTCATTGCTTGTAGTTGAGGAGAAAAATACCAGCCATGTGTCCAAATGCCTAAATCACAAGGGCTTCTGTGCTCACTAGCAATGCATATGGGATGGATTTCATAGGATTCAGAGTGCTCTAGTCAAAAAAGATTTTACCTTGAATAAAAAAGATTTTACAATGAATAAAGTTGTAGTTGGTTTTGGTGGGTAGGTTGGATTTTTCTAGATTGAAAGTTAATAACATTTTATGATGAACAAAAGCCATGGAAAAGTAGGGGCATTCAATGCAATTTGGATAAGTAGATCCTACAGATTATGCAAGCAGAGGGAAAGACTGACTCATTAAGCAGAAGTAGTTAGCAGGAAGTTTTAATAGTTTGTGGTAATTCTTTGATAAGGAGCTTATCTATAGACAGGAGACAACTATGAAATATGGTTTGATAAGGAACAGGGAAAAGAAACAATGTTGTAGAAATAATATGGTTATATATTAAATAGGGTAGAGTAGTGTTGTTATGTTTTTATGTGATGAGTTTCTCAGTTGAAATGCTGACTGAGTTTGTGGAGCTAGATATTTAAAAGAATCTACAAGGGACAAGTTGTATGAAATTTGAAAACTATTGAAATAACTGTAGGAGAACACACAAAGGGAACAAAGGATACACCATAAGTACCTATCACGGAGAATTATACTGTTGAAACAGTGGAAATAAATGATAGTATAATACTGAATAGCAAATACCTGGAAACTTACTGTGACTATTGAAGTCATACACTCCCGATCTTGAAATGAGGTGCCTTAAAAAAATGATCGGTTAGGCCTTGCGAATAGATGAGAGAGAGAGAGAGATAAACCCAATGTACCTGTAGAACAGTCAGGTCCTGTCCACTTGGGATCACAGCTGCAAATTCCAGTGTCCAGAAGAAAAGTTCCATGTCCCGAGCACTGCTCTTGGCAGATAGGAAGTGGCGTTTCACAGTTGACTCCTCCCCAGCCAGTAGAACAGTGACATTCTCCTTTAACACAGATGCCATGAGCGGAGCACATTGGGTCTAAGCAGTCCTCTGAATACCAGAAACAAAACAAAAAAGGTGGGGGTGAGAGGGAAGGCTGGTAGAGAACAGGTGCTGGATAATGGAACGGAGATATATTGATTTCCTAGTATTGTATCACTAATGTTGCTTTAATTAGGCAATAACATGACTCATGCAAACATTGTGTTTAAAACAGAATATTATTAACACTTAAAAATATGGTAGGGTATGATAAAGGTTGCAACCTAAATTTGGAAGAAGAAAATCACACGTATGCTTCATGCAATTCTGAACAGTATGTGATACCCCCACACTAATAAGTGGGTGGACCTGTATGGACTCTCAGTAGGAATTTCTCAGCTTTTAAAAAAATGCCTGAGAGTGTTTTGATAAACCATTCTTTATCCTGTCTCAAATTAGAATCAAAGTTGTACTTAATGTGTCTAGGAGTATTTATATAGTTTTTAATTTGGATGACAAGCCATTTGATGAAGTGACTGCTGTTATATGAAATAATAAAATTTACATAAACTTATTGTGACCTCACATTGATTCTTCAGAGGAACCAAAAATGCAGCATTTTTAATTGAATTTTAAAAATTTGTTTCTTTCTGCCCCCTTCTATCAGGCACTGTGACATCACCTTAGAAAAATGTAATTCTATTTGTCTTTGATTCGGTGAGTCTAGAAATGTTTGCCACGTAGAAGGTTGTCTTGTGCTTTCCCCTGACTATTCTATGTTGGATGTGAAGGTTGAATTCTATGTTATTTCTCTTTCTATATAAATAATGCTATAATACTTTGTCCTAGTGTTAATTATGCTTTGAAATGTTTTTACAACAGTGGGGATACATTGATACAACCTCCATTAATTTGCAAATCTTACTCTTTGGTTGTAAATTGTTACCACGAAAGTTCTATCATTAGGACTGTTATAATTGTTATTGTTATCATAATTACCCCCATAATCTGAAGGTCATTAAAACAATCTTCTGATAATTGAGATAATCACCAAATAAAATATCTAAATGTATATCTAATTTGTTTCATGATTTGGCATAAGAGGTAAAGTCTAAGGTATAGACTATTTGTAGAAGGACTATTTGGTTATTTTAGAAGATTAGTTATGGCAAAATACAAGAATAATAAATAATAAGAAAAATGCCATTAATTTATTCTGACTTTTAAAAGAGATTTGCTACATTCAATTCATGTTTGTTAAGGTGCCTTCCTCGTCCAGAAATCAGGCCACATCCTTTGCAGCAGAAAGTTAGAACTTGCAGACCTTGACCAAGTTAAGGGAAGAAACAAACCCAGCTCCTCCCCCTTGTCATTGCAATAATAGTTTATAGTCCTACCTAGCTAGTTTCTCCATGTTTCTTGTCACACAGGCTAGGCTCAGCTAAATTTTGTGTTGTAAACTCTGGAAAGCTGTATAATTCAGATTTTTTTTCAGAGGATTTCTGAAGGCACTCTTTGTTTGTAGGTCCCCACCACACAGAATGGTGTACATAACAGCTGTGTTTCTTATTCTTTCATGTCAAGCTATCCCTCTCAAGGTTCTCATGATGCTCTTTCCTACCAAAATGCCCAGTCACAGCTCCACATGGTTTCCAGGGAGGATTTCTCTCCTAACAAAGCTCACTCTCTGGGTTAATTGCTATCACTTTCTTTCTTCATGACTAGAAATTCTTGTTCTAAAGATGTTTACATCATAAAAGTCATACTTAAATCAGAGGAATGAAACCATAGGCCTAGAGATGGCAAGGGTAGAGCAAATGAGGTGTTTGTAAGTACGTTGCTGATTGGGAGCAAACTGTGAAACCATGTGTTCTCTTTAAAAGGAACTGCTGCTACTTAGCTCCAGATATTGTGGGCTTAGTCTCCAGACCCTCTAGTATTCAAGAGAAGCAAGAAATGGGGATCTTCAATGTGACCCTTCTCTATTTTGAAAAGTTAGCAACTAAATCAGTCAATAGAAACAATGACCACATTACGTCTGTAAACAAAATCTATCCATAGCCTGATTCAGCTTATACATTCTTCATAAGTGATCTAAGAATTGAAATTTTTCTACTGTATTTGTGAAGCTTATGCCATCAAATATGATAAGCATTCTTCCATATTATTTTGGCTGTTTTACATATTTTCGTAGAGACCAAGTAAAAGGCTAATTTAAGCTAAACTCCTTTTCAGCTGCGTATGAAATTCAAATCAGGATGGTCTAATGAATTGGGTTACATGATTTTCATGTCAAATTATAGATGTGTTAGATATCACTCACTGTTAACCGTGTCTCATTCTATACAGCATCCGACTCTATACTTACATATAGTGATAGCATGATTATCATAAAAATGTATTTTAAGATGTCTTAGGAAGTCCAGTGCCTTGTACAGGAATTCACTGGAACAAACAAAGTCTTTACACCCCAATACTACTGCCACTGATGGGAGGTGGAAAGCTAAAATCTTGCTTGTTCATGGAGCAGAAGGAGATTAAACCCTTTAGAATGCTGTGTAATACTCATAATGAGCGATCTTTAAAAAGCAATTACAGTGCATTTTCAGCAGCCCCTTTCCTGAATAACAGTTGTGATGAGATCATCTCCCATGGTAATGGTTTAATATTATTTCTGAAATCAGTCTTATTTGAAGAATGTGGCATGAAAATGGTCTGATTACTAGTAAACTTATTTTCCAATATGTCTGTTTAACTGATAAAACTATAGCCATCTCAAAATATTGTTTTCTAAAGACTCCTTTGGGGTGAATTTAATACAAAGACTCTTCTTTGAACTCATTAGTGGTAAGCCTGATGGTTTAGGCATTGAGGTCAAGTTTCAGCATGAGGCATGTAAGAATAGATAAAAAATAGTGATAATTACAAATCACATCCAAAGAAAACATTTGCAAGATGGCTCCAAATGTGTTTACATCATTATTTTTATGTCATTCTTTAAATGCAATGCTTCATTATGCAGTATAATGCACTCTGTAATAGTGAAAATATATGAATTAGCACCTAACATGATCAATATGGAATTTCTCACGTTAGAAAACAGTATTAGAAATTAGGAGAAAAGATATCACTTTTGCATTACCACTTTGCAGGTGTCAATGAAACAGTCGCATGTATTCTGTGAGGCTTCCAGAAAAGACTTGAGCTTCCCTGACCTCAAACCTTTGCTGTGTGTTCCAAGGGCATGTCGAACATCTACTGTTTGCAAAAAAAAGAGGGCTTGTCTCTCTACTAGTATTACAGCATGACACTGCGGACAATCCAGCGAGAGAATAGCCTGAAGCAATATATTGAAATGGAGCTCTGACCTTCTTCACATATTTCTCCTTTGTATCCGGGAACACAGATGCAGACTCCCATGATGCAGGTGCCGTGGCCAAAGCATGTTGGGTCAATGCATTGTTCTTCTGGAACATCACACTCAGGTCCTTTCCAGCCATTCCTGCAGACGCAGTGGCCTTTCTCATACTCCCCATTGCCTCCACACAGCACTGGGCACGAATCTAAAGGTTGGCAAATAAACTTGTTGTTACAATCCCTTCAAAAATCTCACAAGAATAATCCTATTCTGGCTCTAGTATATTATTTCTGGTAAAGGTAATATTTTTGTCTTATTCTTTATTAAATAGGCTTATGATAATGATTACAAGCAGAATTTTCCTTCTATCGAAGTGGGGTAAAGACAAATTACGAAGATTTCCAAAGTGGAGGAAAAATATTTGTTTTTGATCTTATTACAACTTCAAACTATTATCACTGCTACTATTTTAAACTAAGGGTTTTCTCTCTTAAATGTATTTTTATTTCCTCAAATACATGTATACTATTTTTGGAAAGCAAAGTGTGCATTAAAATCTAATAAATAGGGTGCTATTCACATGAAAAGGTCTTATAAAGGCTGTACAAACAGATAAGTAGAGAAGATCTTCAACAGACTTTACTAGAACACCTATTGTGCTGTGTCCCTGTGTGTGTTCACTTTAAATCCATGAGGTTTTGACGGTAGTGCCCACATCTTCTGTTTTTCTTATATGTCTTTTAAAATACAAAACCCTTCTCCTCCATTTCACAAGATCTGTTATGGTGCAGGGAACCTAGCAACTGCTTTAGAATTCTCTATTGAATGGAATTTAATCTAAATGAACAGAGGATTTTTTTTCCTCCGAAGAAACCCGAGATTAACCAAGCAGACCAGAAACTTAAGACTACACTGAAAATGAAAAGAAAGCGTGTGCAAAATGATAACTGCAATTCTAGAGGAATCCATGGTCCAATTTATCTAAGGCTTTTCAAGAATTAATTAAACTATGTGCAAACACATGAAACAATAAAGATTGCTAAGTTTAACTTTTGAATTTTCATTTCTTTCTTTATAAACTACATATCCATTTAGTGATTCATCACTACTTCAGTTATGATGGTATTATCAAATACTAATTTTTCCTTTTATACTCAGACTGTTATGAATTGCTTTATAAAAGAAATATAAGCAGTACACTGTAGTTGGCTCAGATGATCTAGGTTCAAATCTCAGCTGGTAATTAATCTTACCTATGTCCTTAACTATTCCTTCTGAGGTTCTTTCTTTGCTCATCAAATAGGGCTAATAGCGGACCTACTTCATAGGACTATTGTAGGAAAGAGGAATTAAAAGAGGCGATGAGAAGTGTTTAGAATGCAGCTGGCATACTAAGTGCTCAGATTTTGGTGACAATTGTTGGAGAGCACTGCCAGTGCTTTTGTTGCTATGACCATTATTACTACAACAACTATGAGTTCTTCAATAATGGGTCTCTAAAACAGTGTTTTTTAACCTGTGGGGCATGACCCCATGGGGGGGTCACATATCAAATATTTAAATTGCAATCCATAACAGTAGCAAAATTACAGTTAGAATGTAGCACACAATATGAAGTACTGTGTCAAAGGGTTGCAGCATCAGGGAGGTTGAGAACCCCTGCTCTAAAACAATCAGAATCATAGCACAACATTACCTCTAGCACAGTCAGGTCCAAGAAATCCTGGGAAGCAATGACAATGTCCAGAGATACACTCTCCATTTCCATTGCAGTTGGTTGAACAGTCATCCATTATTTCTATTAATATAAAAAAGAGAGAAATAAACCCATATTTAGGCTAGAGATCTGATGTTTTAAGGGTTTCAGGAATTCTTTGTCTATAATAATCTTGTCCTCTGCTGTCTGAAATGAACTTATTGCTCAAAATTAGGGATAAAGACTTTTGCATGATGTCATATGCAGTAGATTATTAAACATGGTTCTCAATTTAGTGAACTGACTTTTTAAGAGAAGAATGAAAGCTATCTCATCTCTAAAGTGCATAAAAGGTCTACATAAATTGTATTCTTAAGAAGCATTTATGATAAAGCTTAAAAGGTATGAGAATTATAACATTTCTCAAAAGCAAAAAATACTTTAAAAATGTAACTTATAAGACAAAGACTACTGTACTTTTTATACTTATATTGTACCAAATAAGGTTTCTTCTATAGCAAAGTGGACTATTTAATATAGTATCTTGACAGGTTAAATACGATAATCAGTAGTCCATTTTCATTAATAAGTGACAATGGCATGCTTTTAAAGTAAGTGTTCATATTAAATTTACCACCACTAAAAGCATTTGAACCTGAGTATTTTGTTGAAAAATGTCTTCTTGACTGTAAATGCTTATCAGTTCCCTGCCACTAATTTTTTCATTCCATTTTTACAAAACAGTTTTCAGGGGAATTGAGAAGGTACCCATAAAGTTGTACAGAAAATAAATTCATATAACTTTTCTGAAAAATACTGCTTTACAAATGTCAGTCTTTGAAGATAACTTTAATTTTTGTAGTTTGCAATTATATTTGAGTCTAACAATAATTAATTCGCAGTCCTATAAAAGATCATGTTTTTCAATGTGTCATCCGTTGGTGTGGTATATATATGTGTGCTTGTTATATTTGGTTTTTATCTATTTGAAAAATAAATTGACATTGTATAGGAATGGACGAGGTAAAGATATGGAAGAACTTAGGAGAAGGGAAGAATATAATCAAGATATATTTAAAGCTAAAACTTACTTTAAATAGTAAAAATACAAAAATTCCATAATTAACAATCTTTACCTCAGAGTCTTCCTATCTTCTCTTTATCTCTTTCCTTCCTTCTTTCTCTCTTTTAAATTCTTACCTATTAAAACCATTTCACTGACTTTTCCATTTTTAATTTAAAAAACCCTCCTTCACCAGGAAAAACATTTCTAATAAAAAAAAAGAGAAATTCTAGGAGGTGGTCCTGGTATCTTTGCTTGGATGACGAGAGTCTGTAATTGCAGTGAAGGTTAAGAAATGATATTTGTGTAACTGTGGCCTATGAATCCCTTGAATAAGTAGAATCATTGTGTGACACCTATAAGATGGATTCCTGGACTTTAGTTCTGAATCTCCTGAATCTGGTCTAAGAGATCTTGTCCAGCAATCTCCAATCTCCCAAGCACCCTATGTGAATCTGTAGGTACTCCCACATTAAAGCATTGAGATCAATGTACTTTAATTCGTTTACTACATATTTAGAAAACTTATGGCTGATGTGTTGGAGTTTTTCCCTTGGCAGAATAAAGACAAGAAAATGAAAATGGGATGGACGCATTTTAGACAATCTTTAAAGAGTTTGGAATGGATTTAGAGGCTGCATGGATTATAAACAACACAATCATTAGTTTGACTATGAAGTATATAAGTCCCCTTTACTGTTATTAAGATAAGGTATAAAAACCTAAATAAATGTTTATTCTTTAGGGTAAATGATTTATATGCTTTTCATTATTTGCAGGAAATTTATTTGTACTTAATTTTTGTTGTTTTGTCTATTTTATTTTAGGTATGAGTGTTTTACCTACTACATATATGGATGTGTATCATGTGTGTACCTAGTGTCTTTGGAGGTCAAACAACTACATATCCTACAACTGGAGTTATGGTTGGTTGAACCACCATGTGGGTGCTGGGAATTTAACCCGATTCCTCTGCAAGAGCAACAAGTGCTTCTATCTGCTAAGTCATATCTCCAGCTCCCTTGAACTTTTTTTAATGGAGCAAGGAGGGAAATATATCTGTTCCTTCTAATATTAAACAAGTAGAAAAGTAAAGGTACTGACTTGCACGTGCAAAAGGAAAATACACTGTTTCATATGAAACTGATAGTTTGATATCTGGATGATAAGACTATCTCTGAATTGTGAAATTCCTTTGGGCATGAAATAAAGTGAAGGTAAACAGTCCCAAGCATGTTTAGGATCTACTCACTTTTGACAGGTTAATAACTTGATTAATATTTATAATTTGAGATGAGGGATTAAATTAAAAGGAATAGAGAAAATATTCACAAATATTTTATATCTTCTAATTTCTTTAAGTTATCCTGTCACAATTTAATGGCAATCATCAAAATTGCTTTCCGATTTTTTCATTGCCATGAATTTTAGGGACATACTCTTAGTGACAAAATAGTGATATTACTAAAAATGTATCATTTTCCTAAGTTAACAAAAATATGTATTTTGAAGATGTAAGATCAATGGAATTTATCTTAGTATGATTTTTATTGCTTTCCTCATTATTTTAGAGGAAAAACTTTAACGGTCTTATGGCTAGAATACTGTTTTCTACTCTCTCAAGGTCTTCGGCATCAAGTAAAAATAGAATCTAATTGTTATCAGGAGCAGATGGTCTATCTATTAACAGTCAACACATCTTCCTAAACATATGGCTGAACAGGTTAGCTAAAGGATAAAGTGGTAGAGAGTTGTGTAGGAAACTGACAGCTGTAAAAGATTTTCTCTTCTTTTAAAAGGCATGTGTTTTATGAAAATTCAAACGATCTGATGCTCCATCTACAAGTTGTTTACCCTGAGGACTCCCAAATTGCTAAAGAGCTACGCTTTCTTCACACAAAGAATCAGGGGAGTGAGTTTACTGAGAAAGCATGTCAAAAGACAGAGATGCTTCAGACTAAGGAGGGTGATGGTGAAGAAGAGTGTTATAGGCATTGCATTTAGAAAGACCATACTTTAAAAAGCTATGGGCACACTGAAATAACCATTTGATTATCAGACCCAAAGAAATCTGAAGAACGGTAATGACTCAAGTTATTGTTCTTAGTATTCTTCTTCTCTAAGGATTCTTAGTTTGTATTTTAAAGTCTTAGTGGTTCTAGAATCAATTGTTTTAAATAAATATATCAATTCCATTCTTTCTATTTTAAGAAGGATTTATTTACTGTCATTTTATAATCAAACCATTTAACAGAGTCTTTAGTTCCTATCTTCTTTTCTCTCACTGGGGATAGAACTTTGGGAATCTGTTACCAAACTACATCCCTAGACTGTTTTCTATATTAAGGTAAATACTCTCTGGTTTGCCAATAGTGACTTTGAATTTACTTTTTTAGCTCATGCTGACCCTTAACTCACAAACCTACATGCTATGTCACTGGCAGTATAGAAGAAAGCTATATGGTTCAGTTCAACAGGGATACTTTTGCTTTTAAGCTTTCCTATGAAGTTGTACATTTATATAGTTTTCTAAAACAATATTATCCAGATAATATTTTCGTTAAGAACCTATAGTCCCTCTGAATGTGGTTGACAGTTGCATGGCTGTGACGGACTGGGGAACACTGACAGTGGCACCAGGATTTATCCCTACTGCTTGAACTGGCTTTTTAGGAACCTATTGAATGGATACCTTGCTCAGCCTAGATATAGTAGGGAGGGCCTTGGACCTTAGGAAGCAATATGCCTTACCCTCTCTGGGGAGTGGATTGGAGTGGGGTGGGGTGGGAGGGTATGTGAAAGGAATGGGAGGAGGGGAGAAACTGGGAACTTGGACTGGTATGTATAATGAATAAAATTGTTTTCTTTCTTAATAAAAAAGATATAAAGGGCTGCATGACAAATGTCCAAAAATATCGGCAAGTTCCGGAGAGCTTTAAAAAATCTTACCCAATATTTTAATGAGAACGAGAACAAAAATAAAATGTTACTCATGGTGACATTTAGTGACTAGTGACTTTAAGGTAGATGGAACAGTTTGTATGAGTAATGAAATACTTTTTCCACCAGTGTGTTCAAGAGATATGCTGTGAATTAAAATAACAGCCAAGGCAGCTTACCAATTGCTGTAGTTAGCACAAATACTTGTTCCATCTTTTTTCCATCATTGTAAAATGCCAGATACCAAGGTCCTTGGTCCATATACTCTATGAAACCTGTCTCCTGAAGGGATGTTAAGATCAGATTCCTCGGGGAGTGCTGGATGTCGTCAGAGCTCTTGGAGTCTTGTTTTACCAGTTGTTTGCCATCCATTAACTTCACAAAATCAAACTGGAACAAACAAACACAACTGTGAGCTTGAACTATTTTTTTACTTCTGGGCATATAACCATGCTTAACTCTCACATATTCCGTGCTTTGAGAGTTAACAATTCTTAAGTATATTTGATGCCAAAGACATTTGTTAGGTTTGAAAATTGTATTACTACACGTACAAATTTTGTGAACTTCTCAGCTTGGGAATGTTCAAAGTAAAAAGTGAATAAAAGCAAACCTCTAAGAAATAGACACAATTTTGAGTCTTATGTATGAGATCTTGACATTTTAGCAAAGTATCTATCTAAGAGTAGATATTTGATAACTTATTCTGCTCAGAAATGTGACCTTGTCAGCAAATTTAAAAGGTTTTTTTACGGTTTTAGAAACACAAATAAATTATAAATGACAATATTTATCACAATTTACTCCCTTTGTGGGTATGTATTTAAATATTCAAAGTCCAGTCATTCTCCCTAATCATTTGGTGAACACATTGTTTTACACTTTCCTATGTTTTGTGGTTCATTTTTGAATGGCATTTCACTATCTTTGACTTGGCCAAAAATTAAAAGTTTTGATGCTAGTCATCACTTTTGGTGGATATATGGAGTGAGCATTTAGTTCTTTTAAACTACTTATATAGAGCAGCATTCCTGGTAAATTAAAGCAGAAAATAAATAAGCTTAACAAACACATGAGAAATATGATATCCAAGGCTTATGAATGGGCCATAGAAACTGCAGAGGTTTTACATATCTGAATTCTTGTAACGTTTACAGGAATTGCTTGTTGAAAGAATTCTGTATGTAAGATACCATCTACTTAAGAAAATATCTGTCAATACCTTCTAGTTGATGTGCATTCTGTGACTGGTATAATAGCAAAACGATTGATGGTACCACCTTTGGAGCTGAGTAAGATGAGAGGACTAGAGACGGTCACAACGACCTTTCCTTTGGAATCGGGAGATCAAGTTTAAAGAATGTTTTCTTCAACCATCTTTCCGGAATATGTTCTGCTAAATGCCATTTTTTTATTTCTACATACTGTGTTTTCATTACAGTATGATGAATCTGAATATTTATTTGTTAAAAAGATTTTTTTGCCTTCATCTTTGACTCCTACAGTATTCACAAATCACAACATTTGAACTGCTTGATATAGTACCCTCTAAAAAGATTTAAGAAAATACCTATTATATCAAATACCTGAGTGTGTGTAGCTGGAATGTTTCTTCTGCCATAAATTCCCAGTAGAGAGTCCTTGGCTAAAGAAATATTGAATTTCAGATATATAGGATGGTGGATAGTAATCTGGAAACGCCAGAATAAGCCCGGTGGAATGGTCTGCATGACCTGTGCTCCAATGTCAACTTCTCCAGTATCAATTGCTCGTCCCTTCTGAAACACTGGTTTTAAAAAGAGAGAATTATACATATTATTCATCTTAATTAATAAAGCAATGCTTTTTAGTTTTTCAAGAACAGATGTGTCAAAACAACTCACTTTTCTTCCTCCTATCTTTCAAGCTCTTGCTCAAATTAAATATATTCTAAGGGATCTTTTCTGGCCAACTATTAAGCCAGTTTCTCCGTTGAACTCTTGTTCCACTGATTTTGTTAAACACAATTACATTTAAGCATTTACTTATTATTATCTTGATAACTGCAGGAGTTGCAAAGATAAGTAAGATGCAGTTCTTCCTCTCACTGAGTTTTGAAAATCATGGAGGAAATGGGACAAGTATAAAAGCAACTACATGGTAAAGGAAATTAACTGCTATCAGTATTCAAAGGAAGGAAAATTATTTTTTAAGGGATATTTTTATCCCCCTTTTCATGCTCTTTTTGTCTTTTATTTTCTCATAGTAATTTACATTCCAACACACTGCATATTTTATTTATACATTACATATTACCTATTTTCCCAGCATATAAGGTAAGTATTTTAAGAACAAGGGCTGTGGCTACATTGTTCATTGCTTTATTCTCAGTATATAGACAATATATGTGAATGTATGAAAAGATTACATATATATTAATGATCAGTATATAATTATTTAATGAATGGATTGATGAGTCATAAAAAGGTAATTAGGGGAAATGACATTGAATATGAGTTTTAGGAGGAGCAGAAGTCTTCAACATAGCTATGGAAAAGATGTTAGAACATGTAAAGGGAAGCTTGCACTAAAGCAGAGTACTGTAATGTGGTGATCTTACAGTTGTGGAATATGCATATATAAGAAGAATTCTGAATAGTGTTGGATAGAAATAATGACATATTGTCTATATTGTCTTGGGAACCATTCAGAAGGATTTGATTAGTAAAGCTAATAAAGAATAGTAAGAATATCTGAAAAAGTCATAAGGAATCCTATTATTAACTATTTATCTAATGAATACGTACCATACATGTAATTCTCTGTATTAATATGCATATACAGTTTAAATCACGTTTCTCATCTGAGTTAACAACATTCCTCACAAGTAAGAGAGATGATTTAACAAAAACCCCAATACCAGGCATGAGAAGGCCTCCTTTGAGTTGTTGGTTTGGGTTGTAAAGAGATTTCCAAAACATACAGCTTGTTGCTACTGCTCTTGCTTGTCCCCAAGAGGTGAAACATAAATCCCTATTCCAAAGACACCATGCATTTTGGACACAGGGCTCAAAGATTGGAAATGAACTGAATGCCTCTTCCCTGAGGACTAACTTCCATAGAACTATAAGGTGCCATCCAAGCTTCCAAAGGAGGGTGGCAACCAGCAGTCCTATGCAGCTATGACACCTATCAACCACAACAGTATCCTGCATGAAACAAAAATGCCAAGTGCAGTAGTGGCATACACATCTTGGCAATAACCAACAGGCTTTAAGACTATTCAACAAGAGGAATATCATATCTGGTACTGAAAATATGGCTAAATGCCCAAGTCCAGTCATGCCATGGATCTTTGAGGAGATCCCAACACCACTGTTTTACTAAACCAGCATAATCTCTAACTACATTATAAATACCAAAGTGTAGTCCTTACTTCACATTGTGGCAACTTCTCTTTGCAACAAACAGAGGCTATTATAGCAAATAACCATTCAAAAATGCGTGGTTGTCCTAACAGATATATCTACAAAACACATACACACACACACACACACACACACACACACACACACACACACACACGTCTAAGACTCAGGAAACACGGCAAAAGAGGGTGTAGAATGAGTCAAAAAGCAACAGAATCCGGGAGTTTGCTGTGAGACTGTGTCTTTTAGTAAGGTCAGTATCCTGAATTACTTTGTGGGTCTCCAGGTTACCTCTGACCAAGAACTGGAAGAGGGATATCCCATACCTTGCACTGAGATTTTTATTTGGTAACATTTGACTCTTGAAAGGATCCTTATTGTGTAGGTTATTAATTTAAAGACCAATTTATTTAATGCCAACTGAAGTCTTCCACAGGTATCATTAAAATTTTTTAATAGAGGAAAGGCCTAGGGTTCAGCTCAGGGGTATAGTAATTTCTCATAATGCACAATCTTCAGCAAAGATTCACCCACCACCCAGACTGGAAAAGTTTGGATGTATTAGATATTCTAATCTTGAGGCAGAATGTAGGAAGGTATTAGAGGGAGACACAAGGACAATATAGGGAGTACACATTGTTGATTCAGGTGAAATGACACAAATACTTGAATTTAGGGGAAGCACAAATAACTTCTGTAGGAAAAGTACATTTCAGTGAAAAGTAATTTAGTTTAAATGGAAAGTAGGAGAAAGACATGAGAACAATAAAGAAGATTCTGAAGCCATGCTTGTCAGACATTAATGTGACTGAGCAGTCTTCTAATACTAGCATTGAATGAGTGGGTTTAAAGTGAGACACTTTCACAGGATTCCAAGTGATGCCTGTGTTGCATCGTGCACTTGTCAATACCTGAGAAGTGATAGTAATATTTGTGAACACAAAGGGAGTGTTAAACCGACACCATGATTGTGAGTTTGGATAATTTGGATAGTACTAATAGCCAAGTATCTGAAACCCAGAAGTACTTGGTTTGTGAGGGCAGATGTTTAGTTTGCACGAGAATAGCTTTATTTGATATGATAGCTTAATGTATCTTTTTTTGGAATACGATGTCATGTGGTAGTGGGGAGGGAAGGAATAGAAAAGGAGGAAAGGAAATTGGTTTGCTTTCATTTTAAACAAGGAGGATTATACCTCAGGAGGGAAAATTGAATTTGGCCTCACTTCATTCCATCTTTATAGTTTTCAGACATCAGCTCTGTCTCCATACCACAGTTTCAAAACACCCATGCTCCCTGTCCTTTGTGTTCACCTTACAGAAAATTAGCAGCCCATTAAGAAACACACCTGCAGTGACTTTATTCATAGGCCAATGCTTGCAGCTTTTAACTCCCTAAAATACCTACATTATTTCTTTTTGTGTTAAGGCCAAGAGTAATAACTATTTTAAGAATGGTCACTGTTAACTGTTAATAATAGATTTCAAATGCAATTTTGAGCATAATTATGTATTACAGGACACATAATTTTGTGAAATTGACATTTCTAATAAAACATACCCTTTGAGATAATAAATGACCAACCGAGTACCTTATTTTTCACTGAAAGTTACTCTTTTTCTAAGTAAGACAGAACAATTTGGTTCCCAAAGGATTGATAATAAATTTAACTCTTAAGGTTTAAGAGCCAAGAAGTATCTTCATTGGGCAGGAGATTAATAGACCATATTTATGTGAACATTTTTGCTCTCAACTTAAAATTCAGTTTATCCAACCGTTATCCTCATTAGAAGTTTTTTTTTAATCACTTCTTAAAATGCACCATTTTATCATGCAAACAATATTATAAACATAAAACAATTCAAAATGGTCTAGGGTCAACCAATAAAATCTTTAGGTTTCATGAATACTCTTTAACTAACCAATCTGCTGATTTTTTAAAACTGCAAAAACTGGTTGGGGATATTAAATTTTATATGGATGACTGACCTAATATTACAACTTCTCTTTCTGAACTGTATAAATATCAAGCATTATATAATAATGCTACTTTAATGTCATTTATTAAATCAAAAGATGATGTGGGATTTCCATCTGTTTACCATTGGTTAATAAAGAAGCTGCTTTCGGCCAATGACTTAACAGAATATAGCCAAGCTGGGAAAGATACAAAGAGAGAATAGGCAGAGTCAGGGAGAAGCCATGGAGCTGCCAGAGGAGAAAGATACAAGTTGCCAGCTGGAATCTTGCTGGTAGGCCATGAGCCTACCAAAATAATTGAAATAAGTTGATTGAAATTATAAGAGTTAGCTAGCAATATGCTTAAGTGATTGGCCAAACAATACTTCAGATAATATAGTTTCTGTGTGTTTATTGCAGAACAAGACAGGACAGCAACCTCAGCTAACAAAAAGAGGCTGTGAAGATCTGTTGTTGAAGTTATCTGGTTATTATCATCACTGTACATCTAGAGTACATATGCATCAATAATTCATGAAAATAATTTTAGGAGAAGACGATCTTCCCCTTTCAAAGCTTAAAGCTAATATAAGGTATGTGAATAGAGACAAAATATATAAACAAGTGCACCATAATTTCAATAAAAAGTGAGAAAATAATCTAGGTATGATATTTTCATATTAGAGAAGAGAGATTCCCCCAGGTGGGAAATTTCCAAGACTCTAATCTTTTAGAATTTTGTGCATCAGAAAGAGACATATGTTCTTGTTGGCAACTTACACCATTAAATAACCTTCTCCATTTTATTATCTTTCAAATTGATTATGGATTACGAGGTCATTTATTTCATTTTTAACGGTGTAACTCACAAGAGGGGGAAACTAGAAAAAACATTGAAACAATTCAAACTGTGGTTTTTATGAAAATCCAGCTTGATTAATAAAGGCAAAAGAAAATACTGAGCAAACTTAGCACAGAGTCTGATTCTAATACAAATTACAAACAACTTAATAAAAAGCTATACTATTGCAGTGTTTGTGTTTCAATGATCATTTAATCACTATTTTTGCTGAAGCATATCAAAATGATCAAGAAGAGCATGCTCTCTAGTAACAGAATGCTTTTCTTTGTACACATGGGGAATGAAATGCAGAGAGCCCTGAATCATATCATACTGTGCAGTACTGTAGTTATCACAGTCTTACCAATATCTACCAATTTAGTTTGAGGTAAACACTCTCTTTATAGGTTGCAACACAGGCATCAACTGCTGAGCAGGAAAAATGAAAGGCAGATAAGCTATGTTCAAGGATGGCACACTAAGTGAAAGTAGCTTCGTTCGATAAGAAAAGGTCAAGCTACCTCGAAGGCAAAAAATAGGGCATGAAATTTATGATGGACATGGTTTGCAGCGACTGT